TGAACTAACAGATTCTGCAGAATAGGAGAACAGAGAGAGAATGAAGCAGAATGATGAAATGGGGGTCCCTATGTCCTCCAAAAGTCTAAGCCTATAGCAGCATAACTATAGAGATAGCTCAGGATAACCTGAGCCACCCTAACTATAAGCTTTATCAAAAAGGAAAGTTTTAAGCCTATGACAAACTCAGAGCATCAAAGACACGTCCGTTTGGTTCTGCAAAGACTTCTAGAAAATAAACTGTTTGTGAAGGCTGAAAAATGTGAGTTTCATCGCCCATCTGTCACATTCCTAGGATTTGTTCTCGAGGGAGGACGCGTGAAACCATCGGAGGACAAAATTAAAGCGTTTCTGGATTGGCCCACTCCTGAGAATAGGAGACAACTGCAAAGGTTTCTGGGTTTCGCTAAGTTTTACAGAAGATTTATCAGGAATTACAGCCAAACTGCTCAACCTCTAACTGCCTTAACTTTCACTGGTCCTCCGAGGCCGAATCAGCCTTTAAGAGACTCAAGACTCTGTTGGCCAGGGCACCTGTCCTCATTCAACCGGACCCATCCAAACAGTTCATTTGGGAGGTGGACGCATCCGACTCAGGGGTGGGGGCTGTTCTGTCCCAAGTTTCTGATTCTGATCAAAGAACTCATCTGTGTGCCTTTTTCTCCCACAGACTCACCCCTGCTGAACGCAATTACGACGTCGGTGACAGAGAACTTCTCGCCATAAAACTGGCTTTGAAAGAGTGGCGGCACTGGCTGGAGGGCGCAGAGCATCCCATTCTGGTATGGACAGATCATAAAAATCTCTCATACATTTAATCTGCCAAGAGATCAAATCCCTGTCAGTCCCGTTGGTCCCTGTTTTTCTCTCGCTTCAACCTGATCATCTCCTACCGGCCTGGCTCAAAGAACACTAAACCAGACGCCTTGTCCTGCCTCTACGCTCCGGATGAACCTGAAACTCCTGCTAGGATCTTACCGGCTAACTGTACCGTCACCACAGTCTCCTGGGAGATATCTGATTTGATTAAGCAGGCGCAGGCTTCTGAACCTGATCCCGGCACAAGTCCGCCTAACAAGACGTACGTTCCCTCTTCTGTAAGGTCCAGATTAATTCACTGGATGCATTCTTCTAAGTTTTTGGCTCATCCTGGTGTCAGTAGAACTGTAGCTCTGATTTCCCATCGGTTTTGGTGGCCTTCACTCCACAAGGACATAAAGGAGTTTGTTCTAGCCTGCCCAGTCTGTGCACGTAATAAGCCGTCTCATCAGCCTCCCTCTGGTCTCCTTCATCCTCTGCCTGTTCCCAAACTCCCTTGGTCTCACATAGCTATTGATTTTGTCACAGGGTTACCGGCATCCAAGGGGATGACTACAATACTCACTATAATCGATAGATTCTCCAAGGCCTGCCATCTTATCCCTCTGCGAAAACTTCCCACCGCCTTTCAAACAGCTCTTCTTCTAACCAAGCACGTTTTCAGATTACACGGCATCCCACAGGAGATTCTGTCTGACAGAGGACCACAATTCACAGCCCAGATTTGGAAACATTTTTGTTCTGCTCTCGAAACCAAGGTTTCATTAACTTCTGGTTACCACCCTCAGTCAAATGGCCAGACTGAACGTCTGAATTAAGAGCTGGAGTCCGCCCTCAGATGCTTCACTTCAATCAACCCGGCTGACTGGAGTCAGTACCTGCATTGGGTGGAGTATGCTCACAACACTCACATCTCTTCTGCTACTGGACTCTCCCCCTTTGAAATCTCCCTAGGGTATCAACCTCCGCTGTTTCCTGCCGACAAAAAGGAGATCTCTGTCCCAATTGTCCACCACCACATCCGCCGATGTCGCAAGGTTTGGAGAAACACCGTGGCAACCCTGAACCGTTCATCTGAACAGAACCGCCGATTCGCAGACCGGAAAAGACACCCAGCGCCCACTTACTCTCCAGGACAACAGGTTTGGCTTTCAACCCGTGACATACCACTAAAATCCATGTCCAGAAAATTGTCTCCCCGTGACATTGGCCCGTACAAGATCGACACCATCATTAATCCATCTGCTGTTCGCCTGCATCTCCCTCCTTCACTCCGGATCCATCCCACTTTCCATGTGTCCCAGATCAAACCCGTCCTGACCAGTCCACTTTGCCCTCCTTCCGACTCCCTAGCACCCATCATGACAAAATATTTCAACCCCAAGTCAAAGCTCTTGACTAAAAGTAGTTAAATTCCACTAAACTAAGCTAATATTTACAGACACAAAAATCTATGGAACATCAAATTTCAGCATGGATTTTCTCTTTAATAAAAACATATCTGCTAATCAGCAAGGTAACAGTTTTCTGTCCTGCAATGAATTGTTAAAGCATATCACAGACATGAATGTGTGTATTCACGAGTTTGAAAGAACAGTAACTTTAACATGGTTAAAGGTAAAGGTAAAGTAAACCTTAATGAACCTTCCAGCTCTCTCCTTGCTCAGACGGATCTCACCGTTGCTTCCTGCTTGTTTATATTTTCCTTACTTTTTACCTTTTTATCTCTTGGAAAAGCTATAGACGGACAAAACAAAATTTTCTTAACAAAGAGCTGCATAAATAAATAATCCAGCAGGAGGAAGACAGACACAAACTAATTTCAGGGAGATGTTTACCCGCAAACCGCAAAAGTTGTTCAATGGATGCCCGTCCATTGAACAAAGCTAATTCATATATATATATATATATATGTATATATATATATATATATATATATATATATATATATATATATATATATATATATATATATATATATATATATATATATATATATATATTAGGGGTGGAACGGTTCACAAAATGGGTTCGATTCGGTTCGATTCGGTATATGTTGATTGTTAAACCGAAATCGTATAAAAATTTATGAAATTAATGAAAAAATCCCCCAAAAATTTATGAATTGTAATTATTTTTTATGATCTGCGGAAACCATGGATCATATCCCCATGTTTTGCTGCTTTGAATTTAATCACCTGGCGCATGCCCTCTACCATCTCCAAGGAACTCAGAGGGGAGCGGACGGGAGCCACAGTGGAGGCTGTAGGCTTTGCTTTGTGCAGGCGGTCTGGAGCGCATCGGGGCGGAGCGCTGACGGAGTATGAGGGATTTCGGTGTTAGAATGACATGTTGGTCGTGTTGCTGTTAGCATAAACAAAACGTGTTGCACAATGCTTGCACACTGTTGCACTTTTATCCACAGCTGTCTTCCCGCCGTCATCGTAGGTCACTCTAAATGCAAAGTGGTCCCATACAGCAGACCTATAAAGTGCTGCTGGCTCGTCTTCCAACTCCTGTTCTTTCCCACTCGCCATACCCACACAATTCTCCACAACAACTGATTGTTTTCTGCTACACCCGGCTACGCTGCTTCGCTTCTTCTTCTTCTTGTTTACTACTGGTGGTTGGCTTTGGTCGCCACCTTCTGCTCTGGAGTGGAAACGCTTCGCCTATGAGAAAAAGGAGCAGCGCATAAACCGAACGCAACACACGCGAACCGAACCGAGACAGTCGAACTGAACAGTTATGACGGTTTTCATAAATCATCCCATCCCTAATATATATATATATATATATATATATATATATATATATATACACTATATTGCCAAAAGTATTTGCTCACCTGCCTTGACTCACATATGAGCTTAAGTGACATCCCGTTCCTAATCCATAGGGTTCAATATGACGTCGGTCCACCCTTTGCAGCTAGAACAGCTTCAACTCTTCTGGGAAGGCTGTCCACAAGGTTTAGGAGTGTGTTTATGGGAATTTTTGACCATTCTTCCAGAAGCGCATTTGTGAGGTCGCACACTGATGTTGGACGAGAAGGCCTGGCTCTCAGTCTCCGCTCTAATTCATCCCAAAGGTGTTCTATCGGGTTGAGGTCAGGACTCTGTGCAGGCCAGTCAAGTTCATCCACACCAGACTCTGTCATCCATGTCTTTATGGACCTTGCTTTGTGCACTGGTGCACAGTCATGTTGGAAGAGGAAGGGGCCAGCTCCAAACTGTTCCCACAAAGTTGGGAGCATGGAATTGTCCAAAATGTCTTGGTATGCTGAAGCATTCAGAGTTCCTTTCACTGGAACTAAGGGGCCAAGCCCAGCTCCTGAAAAACAACCCCACACCATAATCCCCCCTCCACCAAACTTTACACTTGGCACAATGCAGTCAGACAAGTACCGTTCTCCTGGCAACCGCCAAACCCAGACCCGTCCATCAGATTGCCAGATGGAGAAGCGCGATTCGTCACTCCAGAGAACGCGTCTCCACTGCTCTAGAGTCCAGTGGCGGCGTGCTTTACACCACCGCATCCGACGCTTTGCATTGCACTTGGTGATGTATGGCTTGGATGCAGCTGCTCGACCATGGAAACCCATTCCATGAAGCTCTCTGCGCACTGTTCTTGAGCTAATCTGAAGGCCACATGAAGTTTGGAGGTCTGTAGTGATTGACTCTGCAGAAAGTTGGCGACCTCTTCGCACTATGCGCTTCAGCATCCGCTGACCCCGCTCCGTCAGTTTACGTGGCCTACCACTTCGTGGCTGAGTTGCTGTCGTTCCCAAACACTTCCATTTTCTTATAATACAGCTGACAGTTGACTGTGGAATATTTAGGAGCGAGGAAATTTCACGACTGGATTTGTTGCACAGGTGGCATCCTATCACAGTTCCACGCTGGAATTCACTGAGCTCCTGAGAGCGACCCATTCTTTCACAAATGTTTGTAAAAACAGTCTGCATGCCTAGGTGCTTGAATTTATACACCTGTGGCCATGGAAGTGATTGGAACACCTGATTCCAATAATTTGGATGGGTGAGCAAATACTTTTGGCAATATAGTGTATATATATATATATATATATATATATATATATATATATATATATATATATATTGTCATGTTCGGCTGAACGTATTTAGCCCACATGCCGAACACACACGGCAACAGGGATCAGTTAACTGTTTATTGATAGAGAGAAAATGGAAGCAACGGAGTCGACGGGGAAGCCACAGCACCGGGACCCGTTCGACTTCTGAAAGGAGAAGTAGGTGATTAGCCGGAAAGGGCGATCAGGCAAAAATGAAAAGAGGAACGTGAGCTTACCACCGGACGCAGCAACCTAACCGGGGGAGGACGGAGCGGACTCAGGCTCTGATCGATGGAGCTGGTGGCAGGTGTCTCAGTGACAGGTGAGGCTCGGGCTTGAGGGTGACAGAGCTGCGCTTACTTAATGATCCGGGGCAGCAGGAGAAACCAGAGTGGCTCGAAGCACCTTGCTTTGAGCCAGGAGAAAGGGAGGACCCTGTGGGAACTCAGACCCTGGAGTCAGCACGAGTGGGACCCTCTGAAAGGCGATCGAGAGGTAACCTGGGGAACACAGAGGTTTGGGTTAACGAGGGAAGTCTGAACTCAGTAGAGAGACTGTGGCCTTAGTCGTACCACTACGGTTAACACTCTGGCGTCCTCCTGCTGTCTGGATGCTGCTCTTATAGTGCGATCAGACGCAGCTCAACCAGCCACAGGTGTGTGCGCCCTGCCCACCTGTCAACTGCAAACACCTGCGGAGAAAGCAGAAAGAAGCAGAACCGGCAGAAACTGCACGGCCCTGTCGGCTGAGTCCTGACACCACCCCCCCCTCAATGGTCGCCACCCGGCGACCTCGAGGAAGAGGAGAGGAAAGAGTCCACCAACGACCTGTCAGGGAGGGAGGAACCAGAAACCCAGGAACGTTCCTCCGGACCGCAGCCCACCCAGTCGACGAGGTATTGATACCCTCTACCACGCCGACGGGAGGCCACGACCCTTTGGACCTGACGTCCCAGGTGGTCGAGGGTGGGTGGAGGGGGTTCGGCCGGAGGGCAAAACGGGCTAGAGAGGACGGGCTTGATTTGGGAGACATGGAAGGTAGGGTGGGTCCTGGAATGGGACGGGAGACGGAGGCGGACGGTCGTCGGGCTGAGGACGGAGACAATCTCATAGGGGCCAGTGAAACGTGGTAATAACTTCCGATGGGAAGATCTGGACGGGAGGTTTCGAGTAGATAACCAGACCCGCTGACCGGGGTGATAGGAGGGGGCAGGGACTCGCCTGCGGTCAGCAAACCGGCGGTTCAGCTCAGAGGTCCGGTTCAGGGCTTGGATGGTCTGGGTCCAGACCCTTTTGCATCGGTGGATGTGGTGGGCAACGGAAGGTACAGCTATTTAATTATGGTCATCGGGAAACAGAGGTGGTTGGTAGCCCAGAGAAGCTTCGAAGGGGGAGATGCCAGTCGCAGTGGAGACATGACTGTTATGAGCGTACTCCACCCAGGGAAGGAACTGACACCAGTCGGAGGGATTGGTGGAGGTTAGACAGCGGAGAGCGGTCTCCAGCTCCTGGTTGAGCCGCTCAGTCTGACCGTTGGTCTGCGGATGGTAGCCAGAGGTAAGAGAGTACCGGGCACCAAGGGCCACGGCAAACTCCTTCCACACACGCGAGGTGAACTGTGGACCACGGTCAGACAGAACGTCCAGCAGGATCCCATGCTGGCGGAAAACATGCTTCACCAGGAGCTGGGCCGTCTGAAAAGCAGAGGGGAGTTTTCTGAGGGGAATAAGGTGGCAGGCCTTAGAGAAACGATCAGTCACAGTGAGAATAGTGGTCATACCTTGGGAGGAGGGTAGGCCGGTGACAAAGTCTAGGGCTATGTGGGACCATGGCCGCTCAGGGACTGGCAGGGGCTGGAGCAAGCCTGCAGGGGGTCTGTTTGATGGCTTGTTCTGTGCACAAACTGGGCAGGCTAGGACGAACTGTTTAACATCCTTGGGTAAGTCGGGCCACCAGAACCGCCGGGAAATGAACTTGATAGTTCGGAGGATTCCAGGATGGGCCGATAACTTTTCAGAGTGGGCCCACTGGATGAGGCGGGGCCGAACGGAGGAGGGGACATAGGTGCGGTTAGGTGGGCCATTACCTGGGTCCGGGTCAGCAGGCAGAGCTTGGGAAATGAGGTCCAGAATCTCCCACTGGAGGGCCCCAAAGGTGCAGGTCGGAGGTAGGATGGGAGAGGGCTCCTTAACTGAGTCGTGGGGGGCGTACAGGCGGGACAGAGCATCAGGTTTTAGATTCTTGGAACCAGGTCGGTAGGAGATACTTAAATTAAAACGGGAAAAGAATAGGGACCAACGGGCTTGCCTGGGATTGAGTCGTTTAGCTGTTTGGAGATAAGCTAGATTCTTATGATCTGTCCATATTTGTACTGGCTGCTCAGACCCCTCCAGCCAGTGGCGCCACTCCTCCAGGGCCAATTTTATGGCCAGGAGCTCCCTGTCGCCGACGTCGTAGTTGCGTTCAGCGGGGGACAGACGACGGGAGAAGAAGGCGCATGGGTGCATCTTCTGATCCAGTCCCGAGCACTGAGACAACACAGCTCCAACACCAGTGTCGGAAGCATCTATTTCGACAATGAACTGTTTGGAGGGGTCTGGATGAACGAGAATGGGGGCCTTGGAAAACCTGTCCTCAAGGTCACGGAAAGCTGAGTCGGCCTCTGTGTTCCACCTGAACGAAGTCTTCACGGACGTGAGGGCATGAAGGGGGGCGGCGATCTGACTGTACCCACGGATAAAGCGGCGATAAAAGTTAGCGAAACCTAAAAACCGCTGTAGCTCTCTTCTGTTCTCTGGTTCAGGCCACTCGAGAACAGCCCTGATCTTTTCAGGGTCAGACCGGACACGCCCCCCTTCCAGGATGAGACCAAGGAAGGTGACAGAGGGTTTGTGGAACTCGCACTTTTCTGCTTTCACAAAAAGCCGATTCTCCAGAAGGCGCTGAAGAACGAGGCGGACATGGTGTCTGTGTTCAGAGAGGGTTCGTGAATAAATGAGTATATCATCCAGGTAGACAAAAACGAAGAGGTTTAGGAAATCACGGAGGACATCGTTCACAAGGGATTGGAAGACCGCTGGAGCATTGCTGAGCCCAAAAGGCATTAACAGGTATTCAAAATGGCCCAAGGGTGTCTTGAAGGCCGTTTTCCACTCGTCCCCACGGCGGATCCGGACCAGGTGGTAAGCATTACGCAGATCTAATTTAGAAAAGACCGTAGCGGACTGGACCGGTTCAAGAGCGGAGGAAAGGAGAGGAAGGGGGTACCTGTTCTTTACCGTTATAGCATTTAACCCACGGTAGTCTATGCACGGGCGAAGGGAGCCATCCTTCTTCGCAACAAAAAAGAACCCAGCCCCGAGGGGGGAAGACGAGGGTCTAATCAGCCCGGCTGCTAGTGACTCCTTAATGTATTTCTCCAAAGCCTGTCGCTCGGCCTGAGAAATGTTATACAGGCGACTGGCTGGGAGCGGGGCGCCCGGCAGGAGGTTGATTGCGCAATCGTAGGGTCGGTGCGGTGGCAAAGAGCAGGCCTGGGACTTACTAAAAACCAACTTGAGGTCGTGATACGACTCTGGAACGAGTCGTAACATTTCTGGATCAACCTCAGCAGAAGGCTGGACTGTGATCGGGCTGGCGGGTTCCGCCGACAGCAGGCAGCTGGAATGGCATTTAATCGACCAGGCTTCGATGCGCCGGTCAGCCCAGTTAATGTTTGGGTTGTGTTGCTGTAACCAAGAATAACCCAATACCAGAGGAGCCTGCTTAACAGGAAAAACCAAGAAGGAGATCTGCTCCCTGTGATTTCCTGAAACCACGAGCTCAAGGGGCTTAGTACGGTGGGTTATCTGAGGGAGAGCCCCTCCATCTAAGGCAGAGACCTGGAGAGGGGTGCACAGGGGCACGGTTTCGAGCTGGGAGCGTTGAACGAAAGAACAGTCTATTAAATTAAAGTCGCACCCTGAATCAACCAGAGCGGAAAACTTAAAGGTTTCACGGGAAGAAATTAAAGCGGCGCGTAAGCACAGACGCGGAGGAGCAGGGGCTGACAGCTTAACTTGGTCCGACGGTCTCCCTGCTACAGCCGGCGGACCCGGTCTTTTGACCGCTCAGGGCAGTCGCCAATAAAATGATTCGGGGAAGCACAATAAATACATAATTTGGCAGCTATACGCTGCTGCCTCTCCTCGGGGGTGAGCCGTAACCGGCCCAACTGCATGGGCTCAGGAGGAGAAGGAGGACGCGCTGCGGGCCGACCGGGAATAGGATCAGGTGGAGAAGACGGGAGGGATCTCTCAGCTCGTCCTCTAAACCTTCCCCTTAGACGGTTATCTAATCTAACCGCAAGGGAGATTAACTCATTTAGAGAGGCGGGCACCTCTAGACAGGCTAATTCATCCTTTAGTGGCTCGTCTAGAGCCTGAAAAAACACAGTCTTAAGCGCGCGCTCTTCCCAGCCAGCTGCAGCCGCAAGAGTTCTAAACTCAATTGCGAAGTCTGCAACGCGCTTTCCCCGCTGCCTGAGGGCGAGGAGGCGTCGGGAATCAGTCGTCTCATCCGACTCGGCAGCGAAAACCATCTTGAATTCTGTTATGAATTCACTAAATGAGAAGCGGAATCTTCTGCAGTCTGGAAAACGGGATTCCGCCCATCTGAGGGCTCTCCCGGTGAGAAGGCGCAAAATAAAGGCTATTTTGGAGTCGTCATGGGGAAAAGAGCTTGGACTACGATTTAAAGCCAGGGAGCATTGGAAGAGAAAACCAGAACAATCTACACTGTCTCCGGAGAATTTCTCAGGACTGGGAGAAAAAGTCTCAGGGACAGGTGAAAACGAATCAGCTGGCGCTGGACCGGGGGCGGGGTCGGGCTGTGCAGAGGCTGCAGGCTGAGCGCTTGCACTCAGTAAACCTGTCAGCTTATTGAGCTGGGCGGCTACGCCCTGCAGCTGATTCTGAACGGCTAGAACAGTGGACTCTAATCCCCGAATCTGATCCTGCTGGGCATTTAACGCCCTGCCGAATGTGTCCGCTGGGTCTGTCTGGCCAGAGTGTTCTTCTGTCATGTTCGGCTGAACGTATTTAGCCCACATGCAGAACACACACGGCAACAGGGATCAGTTAACTGTTTATTGATAGAGAGAAAATGGAAGCAACGGAGTCGACGGGGAAGCCACAGCACCGGGACCCGTTCGACTTCTGAAAGGAGAAGTAGGTGATTAGCCGGAAAGGGCGATCAGGCAAAAATGAACGGAGGAACGTGAGCTTACCACCGGATGCAGCAACCTAACCGGGGGAGGACGGAGCGGACTCAGGCTCTGATCGATGGAGCTGGTGGCAGGTGTCTCAGTGACAGGTGAGGCTCGGGCTTGAGGGTGACAGAGCTGCGCTTACTTAATGATCCGGGGCAGCAGGAGAAACCAGAGTGGCTCGAAGCACCTTGCTTTGAGCCAGGAGAAAGGGAGGACCCTGTGGGAACTCAGACCCTGGAGTCAGCACGAGTGGGACCCTCTGAAAGGCGATCGAGAGGTAACCTGGGGAACACAGAGGTTTGGGTTAACGAGGGAAGTCTGAACTCAGTAGAGAGACTGTGGCCTTAGTCGTACCACTACGGTTAACACTCTGGCGTCCTCCTGCTGTCTGATGCTGCTCTTATAGTGCGATCAGACGCAGCTCAACCAGCCACAGGTGTGTGCGCCCTGCCCACCTGTCTACTGCAAACACCTGCGGAGAAAGCAGAAAGAAGCAGAACCGGCAGAAACTGCACGGCCCTGTCGGCTGAGTCCTGACATATATATATATATATATATATATATATATATATATATATATATATATAGATATATAGATATATAGCTGCGCATACAGCTGTTGTTGATGAATGATTCAGCGGTAGCTCCAAAAACTGGGAAAGTTTCAGACAGCTTGAACAGAGCAACGAATCCAGTAGTGCGCCCAACCATAGATGGAGCCCCATCAGTTGTGATAGATGTCATTATCTCATTATCTCTGCAGATTCTTCTTCGCGCTTTAGAGTCCCTGGTAACAACCTAGCAACCGTGGCAAACCATGCCCAGCCATTGTCATAGCCATTAATAGGTCTACATTGTAAAACTTCTCGCAATCGACTGAAACTCCGCCCACGATTGACTGGTAGGCCGCGATCGACTGGTTGGGCACCCCTGGTTGGGGCCAACGATTGAGATCATTGATCCGCAACATAGGATGGCCATAGTGATGGAAGAGGCCATCCCAGATGATGGAAACATCATGAAAAATGAACAGGAGAAACTGGAGAAATACCAAGGCCTC